ATTTATTTATTTATTTATTTATATCCCGCCTATCTGGTCATGCCGGCTTCGGCTTCACCGTTAGAAGTGGCGTTTCCTTGAGAGTTAAAGGGCCTTTGGTTTTCCTTACCACCAGAGTTCCACAACTCTGCCTCTTGCAAATTCGCTTAGCTTTGTTGGGCGATTGGGAGGTAAACAAGGGATGGGCCATTGGGCCTTGCAAAGGGAAGACTTTGATGGGGTTTATGTGGAAATCAAGGGGGGAAAATGGTGCTGAAGCCCCTTCCCCACTCAGGAAGCCCCTTCCCCACTAAAGGAAATCAAGCCTGAGTGCTCACTGGGAGGACAGATCCTGAAGCTGAGGCTCCAGTACTTTGGCCATCTCATGAGAAGAGAAGGCTCCCTGGAAAATACCCTGATGTTAGGAAAGTGTGAGGGCAAGAGGAGAAGGGGACGACAGAGGATGAGATGGTTGGACAGTGTCACCGAAGCTACCAACATGAATTTGACCAAACTCTGGGAGGCAGTGGAAGACAGGAGGGCCTGGCGTGCTCTGGTCCATGGGGTCACGAAGAGTCGGACACGACTAAACAACGATGTGGAAGCGACAAGTGTTATCTTCCACTTGTGGCCCTTTAGTAGTTCCCTACTCTTTCTTCTGTTTGTTAAAGTGACCTGGGAGAGGCTTATGGACTGAGTGGGGAAGGGGCTTCAGCACCATTTTTTGGGGGGGTGTGAGTTGGAGGAAGTGCCCTTCTCCCCAGTCATGGGCTGGTTGTGCGCTGGTGCTTACAGACTGAGCTGATGGAAGAACCCAAGCATCAAGAAAAAGTAAAATATTTATAAACACAATGATACTATATGAGTAATCCCAAACAGAAATAACAAACATAAATCTTCAGCATACATCAAGCAGAGAAATGTGCTTAGAATAGTTAGCTTAGAGGCAAAGAAGCCAACCACTTTGTTAAAGACCATGAATAAGTTACAACTTATATAAAAGACTATGTATGTTGGGGATTTCTGTACATGTACCTGTAAAATAAATGGTCTGCTTCTTGCGTTTACTTTCTGCCTTATCCAAAGTTCACACATACACTGTTGTTTTTTCTATTTGTGATTACTCATATGATGTGTTGGTACATATTTGAGGATTTGTTTATCTCTGGCCTGGTCTCTTTGAGTATATATTGGCTGTGGTTTTGTGTCAGAAATCATTTCCTTTTTTTCTGTGTCTGGACTGAAACCTCCCACTCATTTGTGCAGCTCCTCCTTCTGTCTTCTCTCAATTGTTCTTCCAGGAATTAAAAAGGAGAAGAAGCAAAAGGAAAACACAGCAGGACTGCAGATTAGAGGAAAGTCTAGGTCCTTCCTATAAACATATGTGAATGGGCATTTCAGAGCCATGCTAAAAGTGCAGTTTTCTAAATAACAAAAGTCTGGGATGCAGGAAAAAAAAAAAGGTCTTTGCACAGTGTCTTATCAGAGCCCTATCAATCCTCTAGCTGGAAATGTTTCAATAGGGAAGGAAGGAAGGAAGGGCACATCACTTGAGAGATATCCTAACTTCTCAGCAGCTTTCCTTGGGCTGTTGTCTCTTGCTAACCAGGACAACAAACTGTAACAACATGCACATTCCTTTTTCAAGTGGACATGTACAGGATTACACTACTAGATGCTTCCCTATGGAAAATGTCACTTGGAAGGAACCATAATAAATTCACAACAACAACTAGTTACTACATTCATTGAATATTATAAAAATCTGTATAAATGAGAAATAATACTGGATATAAATGCCAAGAAATTTATAAACTCATCACCAATCAACCACATTTCAGAGAACCACAAAGATTAAATTTAGTTACAGTATTAAAAAACTTAAGAAAGGAAAATCACCAGGCTGTGATGGATGCACAGCTGACTTTTATAAAATTTGGGAAAGAAATGTCATAGAACCTCTTGTAAAATTATTCAGTTCAATTTTGGAAGGGGGAAAAATACCAGGGTCATGATGAATGGTCAGGAAAATAACTATATTAAAATCAGAAAAAGATCCAGTGCTCCTTTCTATTATAAAAAACTATTCAAAAGGACAAAAGGAAAAAAATTAAGGTGGGCCAGTTTGAATTTGTCAATAGGAGGGAAAATAGCCTTAGTTAAAACTTATGTATTACCAAAATTTTTATTTTTATTCCAAAATATACCTCTACAACCAGAAATTTTAAAAAAATGATGGCAAGGAAATTTAGAAAACTTTATTGTGGGAAAGGGAAAGAAGATAAGATGTGTAAATTATGTTAAATATGGACAAGGGGTAAAAGGAGGATTAGAGATACCACACTTGCAAAAATACAGTGGTGCCTCGCTTAGCGATCGCTCCGTTTAGTGATGAAATCGCTTAGCGATACTGTTTTTGCGATTGCAAAAGCGATCGCTTTGCGATGTTCACTATGGGGTATTTTCGCTTTGCGATGATCGCAGGGAAGCGATCATCGCAAAGCCCCCATTTTCGCACAGCTGATCGGCGGTTTCAAAATGGCTGCCGGGAAAAACATGGCCGCCCGCTGTGTTTAGGGATGGATTCCTCGCTTTAGAGGCACCAAAAATGGCAGCGCTATGGAAGATCTTCGCTCAACGATGAGTTTTAAGCCCATAGGAATGCATTGAAGGGGTTTCAGTGCGTTTCTATGGGCTTTTTAATATCGCATAGTGACGTTTTCGTTCTGCAGCGATTTTTGCTGAACGAATTAACGTCGCTAAGTGAGCCACCACTGTATTATGAAGCTTTACAAATAAATCAAATTACTAAATTTATACAGACAAAAGAAATTCAAGAAATCCCTGACTGGGTTCAAATACATGGTGGTGGAAAAATAGATATTGTAAATATGCATATTTACACAACAACATTGTTTAGAAATAGAGAACAAATACAGAATAATTTTTTTGAGATGTTAAAGATATGTCAAGAAGATATGAAAACTCTTGTTCCCCCAATATCCCCTTTATGTCCTCTATTGGATCACCCAAACTTTAAATCTCATGAGAAATACGTGGAATTTAAAGTGGAAACAAATTGGAATATGTAGAATTAAAGATTTATTTGAATCAGGAGAACCAATTGTTAGACAATAGAAGAGAAAACAAAGCAAATAAGAACCAGTTGACTACAACTAAAACAAATAACGAGCTTTGCAATACATTTATATATAAAAATATGGCCCTATAAAACCATTAACGGAATTTGAGCAACACTGTAGACAAAAAGATAAAAAGGATAATATCAGCTAAAGCAAAAGAAACAGTTCTGAAAGTTGTTCACAGGTGGCATTTATACCCTGCAAAGCTATATAAAATTGACAGGGATATAACAGATTAGTGCTGGAGAAAATGTGGATGATAGAGAATTTTGGGACATATGTGGATGGCATGAAGAAAGTATATATAGAGAGACCTGTGAATGATTTGCTTGTGTACAATGAACATCTGAAGAACATCTGTGATTATTATTTACTTTGCTACACTTCAGTAAATAAGTTCTGTTTGCATTTACCAGACAAGTGTTTGGACAAACGTCTTTTATCTTGTGGATAGCGGTAATCCACTGGTGGCAGTGAGGGAAACAAAGACTGGAACCTTTGTGAGGGCACAAAAAGTAGGTGCTTCATAGAGGTGATCGTCACAGCTGTTGATGGAGAAATTGACTAATAACATCAAAATATGCAGAGGAGAAATGAAGCTCCGTTAATTTTTTGAGACTTGGCAACCTTTATTAAAATACACCGATAAACTAAATGAGAAATCACATGATTTAGAAAATAATCTAGATGGCTCAGATTGTTAGTTGTTAATTTTCTAGGATGGAATGGGGATTCGAGATTAAGTGTAATTTCGTGAAATGGTGTGAATAGCTGGTATTTAGAATGTTAAAATATTTGATAAGATGAATAGTTAATTGTGTCATCTGTTTGTAATGTGATGGATTGTCTAAAATTTAAAAAAAAATGAAAAGAAAAACCTTGAAGAGCGGCCAGAAAGCAATCTTTTTGAAGGACTGTGAAGGGATTTCAGCCTAACTGAGATTGGAATACAAAGAAGCAGGAGGAGAAAAATGGGAGGCCCAGAAGCTGCTCAATCTTAACAAGCATCCGGACAGAAACTTCTCAGCAGGCACACAGATCATCCAGTCATTGTCTTTCCCACTCCAGTGAGATACACTGTAGTCCAGATTAAATTATAAAATAATTTATAATTGTACATATGTACATATAAGTTAGCCCATGCAGTTTTATGCAAATCCCTTTTTTGTTGTCTTCATCTTTTGATGGATGTCTCTTTTGGGATATGGTGTTCTGGGTCGTACTCCAGACACAGGATGATTTCAGACAGATGATTCTAAGCAGTTCCAGTCTAAAAGGATTGTGTGAGTCTTATATCTTTTCCTCCGGAACAGATATTTGATGGTGAGAAAAACAACAGAAATACCAGTGAAATATTATTGGGGAGTTAAAAGTGGAAGATGGTACTTCTGGACACCACCATCACCACTCCTTCAAGAATCTGTATTTAATAAAGCAAAAGTAAAAAAAAAAAAATTTAAATGCCCCATAACCTAATCAGAAGTCATTATTCATGCCTAGCTTGATTTGGTAGGAGGCTGCCACCCAGTGGTTGAGGGCAAAATTAACACCTTGCCTTAAAAAGCAAGCGAGGAGATTGTTTGGTTGTTACAGTTTGTGTGTAGGCAAACATATAGATGGGGCTTGGAAGATATAGAAAGAGTGCAAGCCTGTATTTACTCAAAGGCATACCTATTTTACACCAATATAAATCTGCAGTTATATTTTTACTTATTTAAAAAACCTAATTTCCAAAGTGTTAGAATGCGTCTAAAAAACTCTGTATTTTAACTGTAAATGAAAGGACTCATCTCTGTGGAAACAGCTGTAATATCTCTTAACAGCACTAAAATGACTTTCTTGTTCCAGGGCTACTAAGGAGAATCCATATAGAAATAAATGTCAAAATTCCGGGCCTGTCGTCAGACTCCATCTGAAAGACGCAGTCGGAAGCTTGAGAGAACATTGTCTTCGGATGAGGAGATGGATGGCCCATTGAAATCTGGAGCATGGTTTGGCAATAAGCAGACAAGTGAGGGTCTGGGCATACAGCCTATGCCAGGAGAAGTTAAATTTGCCGTACCAAACTTATTTGTTCCACAACAAAATGGAGGCTTTACATTCAACCCACCATCCTTTCCAAATGGAGATGCCAGTGAAGCAGTAGAACAAAAACAAACAAACAAAGTGGGTGAATTTATTTGGGGAATATTGTTATGTGCTTTCTGAGAACCCAAATCCTGTAGTTTAGAGCTTATACTCTAGGCAGTGCTGCTTAAATTTGTGGGGATGGGGGGGCAGAGAAGTGACATGGACTGACTCTTCAAAAATGCCACCTAAGTAGATGAGCAGCCAGGTTTTGCACTCACTTCTCTTTCCCATCTGGTGTATGAAGGAGTATTGTTAGCATCTGACTCTTGAATTACAGAATTGCTTCTAGAAGCTCTGGCACGATAGAGTGATTCTGCTCATTAAAGTGGCTTACAAGGGAAGTTCCCATTTTCTTATTTCTGATATCACTCTATTCTTTATTCCTTGTATCAGTTTCTCTCCAACTCAAAAACCTGGTCATTTGATTAAAAATCTCTCTCTCTCTCTCTCTCTCCTCAAAAACCTGGTCCTTTGATTAAAAATCTCTCTCTCTCTCCTCCCAGACTGCTCCAAAACTTAACTAACACTCTCCTCTCCTCCTAGACTGCTCCAAAACTTAACTAACACTCTCCTCCCCGAATTTCTCACAGACAATTTGAAACATTCTTTCCAACATACCACACTCCTTATTCAGTCCTTCCTGTCACATGCTTAAACAAACGAATCCCTTTCAAAACAATACACTTGCCATGATCATATAAGCAATACATTTAAACATAACCAGACATCATGGATATGCGAAGGAACTTCTACAGCAGAGGTCATCAACCCCTGGTCCGTGGCCCGATGCTGGTCCATGGCCTGAGCTGGACTGCGGAGACAGACCTCCTGGGGCCCCCCGCAGGCACTTCTCTCCCCATAGCTGCTTAGTGTATGCCCACATGCGCCACTGCCAGTGTGAGTGCTTCCCCACACCTTCAAGCAAGTGGCCGAGCACCTGCGCAAATGGGTGGGCATGCAGGTGCTCCTGCACATGCGCGAAGGGGTGGAGGAGCACTCACGCTGGTGCTGGTGGGTGCGCGTGCACTCTCCCACCACTTCGCGCATGCACCTTAAAGAGTGTGTGCACACGCGCAAGCGCAGATGGATGCCCTGCCTTCCTCAGAGGCTCAGCTGGTCCGCGGTCCCAAAAAGGTTGGGGACTGCTGTTTTACAGATTAGGTTTCATTGATGTCTTTATCCTCTGTTTTTCTGTGCCCTGGTTAAAAAGAAAAAAGAAAAAGCTGCAGTTTGCTTAAGCCAACCACACTTTCTACAGTGTCCATTCTTGCATAATGTGTGGAGATGCTTAACCTCAACCAAAGAGAGACCAAATGTGAATGCAACTTTTCTTCTTAACAGAAACCAGAAAACAGTTTATACAACCAGTATGAGGAGAAGATCCGCCCTTGCATCGACCTCATTGATTCCCTGAGAGCCCTTGGGGTGGAAAAGGATTTGGCCTTGCCGGCCATCGCTGTGATTGGAGACCAGAGCTCTGGGAAAAGCTCCGTTCTGGAAGCCCTGTCTGGAGTCGCTCTTCCTCGGGGCAGCGGTGAGAATTCTCTTTCAACTTGTCTTTTCAATGAGAGAAGGAATGGATTCTCTGGAGCCCATTGGCATGAGGGGATGAGGAGATAAACCTGCACATCAAGATGTTCTTACTAGAGATAGTCTTGGTTTGTGGTTCGTCAAGGTTGACAAACCAGGGTTCTTACTAGAGATAGTCTTGGTGTGTGGTTCGTCAAGGCTGACAAACCAGAACCATGGAATTTATTAAAGTTTTACTGACAAACCACAAATCGGTTTGTCCATAGTTTTTTTTTGACAGCCCGTGATTGTCTAAATTAAAAAATTGGGGCCCCCAGGCTGCCCCTACCCCTTCCCACTGCCCCATCACCTCCCTTGATGAGCTGCTGCCACCACTGTCACCGCTGCCACTTCTGTGCTGCCAGCAATTGCAGTTTCTGTTCCAGCATCCTAGCCCTTCCCTCTATGCCTGTGGGCCCGCCAATCAGCTGTTCTGATGGGCCATAAGCAGAGAAAGAAGGAGCCTTCCCTCTCTGCCTATGGGCCTGCAGAACAGCTGATTGCTGGGTCTATATGCAAAGAGGGAAAGGCTAGACTACCGGAACGGAAGCTTCTCTCTCTGCCTATTAGGAAGAATTAAAAAGGTAAATGTTCATCCCTTCGTATTCACTAGGGTCTCCAGAATTGATGAATATGATGTATATTCAACGAAACAGTGATTTCCTACAAAAATCATGATTCATTTTTTTATTTGTCCCCATGTCTTCTTACTTATGCCAGGGATCTAGAACCCATGTCCTTTTAAATGTTTTTTTTAAACTCCAGCTCCTATTAAACCCATTCAGCATGGTCAGTGGTTGGAGATGATTTGAACTGAAGTCCAACCACATCTGGAGAGCCACATGTTTCAACCATTGCCATGTTCCTTTTATTATACAAGTGGTTCTTTGTTTTAACCCAATTGTTTTGAAACTGCTGCAGTATTGTAGCAGCTCCTTGGAAAAATTTCAAAGGAAGCAACATCAGTTAGATGCAATCTCCATAAATTGTGAGTCACTAAGCAGATTTTTTTAAAATTCCAATCTAGTTATATCAGAAAAAGCTCTAGTTTTAGTTACAAGATTAAGCATAATACTTTTTTACATGCACCAGCATTTTCTTTAATCATAACTGCACACATTTACAATATTGCTCAGAGTCAGTATTCAGATTATTCAAGTCCATACTTGAACTCAATGTTATTCTTGTACAATCCAAGGGATTGTACCTATTTTCATCTTTAGGGGGGGAAATGTGTATATAAATGCAGTTGCTATGATTTTATTACAGTTGATCTTTTTTTTTTGTAAGCAGGCATTGTCACCAGATGTCCCTTAGCACTAAAACTGAAAAAGCTATCTTCTGGTCAGCAATGGAAAGGAAAAATTAGTTACTTGGATAAAAATTTGGAATTGACAAATGCTTCAGAAGTGGAAAGAGAAATAAGAAGAGGTGAGTGTTGTGTATTTTGCTGTAACCAATGTGTTTTTTTCATTCTTAGTTTTAATCTGTTACAAACTATAATGATAAGCAATAACTATAGCTAAGTAATATCTACAGTCCAGAAGCAATAGTAAAGAGCAGGAATGGCAGGGCTAGGAATCAGGGAACAGGTGCATAGTTGGGGTGAAATTGCCTTCGACTTTAGTAATGTGCTGACTTATCCCCATAATGGTATTTTGTCAACAAGTGGGGCCCATTCAGGAGAAACGGTTGTTTACTGGTCTTCAGGAGAACAAAATTAAAGCATCCAGTTGCTTCCCTCCAGCTTCCTGCAAGTACAGAAGCTTCCCTGTTTGCCTTAGTTGTTTTTTAGAAGTCCTTGCAGATCTGCTATGCCGGTTCAGCATGGAAAAGAATGCTGGGACATGGTCTGGGGTGTTGCCTGCACCCTTTGGTCCTTACGGTTCATTAGCCTGAATGGAGAGTACACCCCAGAAATCATCCAGTGCATATCCTTGTATTTTATAAAAGGATATGCACTGGATAATTTATAAAAGGATTGGTGGTGGCTGCCAGATTTACTCAGAAGTGATTATCATTGCTAATTTCTTCAATGAGAAATCCTTAATGAACTTTTCAGGAACCAGGTGAGCAACCACTGTACTAATGTACAGTGGTGCCTCGCTTAATGAGTGCACCGTATAACGACGAAATCGCATAGCAATCCGTTTTTTGGGATCGCTAATGCGATCGCTTACTGATGGCCCCAATGGGCGAAAATCGCATTGCGAAGACCGGTAAGCGTTTCGCTTACCGATCTTCGCATTGCGACGCCCGACAATCAGCTGTTCGGTGGTTCTAAAATGGCCGCCACGCAACCCAAAATGGCCGCCGCAACCATTTTCGCGCCCTGCCCTCGCTTA